TATATATATTATGTGTAATATGTATTTATGCATATTAAGAAATCATTTAAAGAATGACTTTGATCCTTGATATAATTATTGCAATACGTTTTTGTGTTTCAGGATGAAGGGTGTTGTGATCTTTCTTGTGTTGACACTGGTCCTGTTCATGGCTGAACCCGTGGAGCCTCGATTTCGTTCGGGGTTTCAAAACGGTTTACGGAAGTTTAAAGGTAAAGCTGCATAATGACAGCAAAACGTACATTCACAGTTAAGGTCAATATTAAGGCTATCAATAATTTACCTTTGGAAATATCACACATTCCCTCTTTTTTACAGTGGATTTTCTTGAACTTTTGGTGAAACTAAAAGAGTAGAACATGTTCACCAGTTAGAAGATTGTACCACCGCCATTTCCTCTAGATAGCTCTGATTGAAAAAAGTGCTTATCCCATCTGTATTGGGTCAACCTAAATAGTGAATAAGTTTGGTCTTTGGCAAAACCACTGAAAAAAACAAGAAAAAAAATTCACTAAATTCACTAAAAAAGTAAATGTATTTCAGTTTGTTTATTTTATCACTTGTTTTTCTATAATTGTTGAAGGGAAAAATCATAATTTTTTAAACTAATTTATTTTCTAACTCACTCTAATACAATTACACTATATACACTATATAACAAGATTGTTTTGAATGTATTAATTTCAAATATTTGCCAAAACATATATATATATATATATATATATATATATATATATATATGTTTATATATATATATATATATAGACAGAAAATTAATGAATCAGGTGGAGGAGGTGCACACACACACACACAATCACACACACACACACACACACACACACACATAAAATGGTGCCATATATGTGGACACTGGAATGTCTGAATGAATGTGCTGTCTTTATATAATGTTCTATTAAATTATCCAATAAGAAACTGAAAATACAGTTGCTGCTGCTGATTAATTGATCAGCATCATAAAAACATTATTTTCAGTATATCTGTATTTATTCTCATGTGGTGACAACTTTTTAACTTTCAACCTTTTTGTAGAAAGCAAATACCCAGACAGACTGAAGAGGCTGGCTAAGGGAGTGATTGAGTAAGGAATGTTCTCCAAAAGTTACTGTTAGTGATGATAAATTAAGAAAAAGGGATTTCTGGTTGTTGTTTTTTTTAAATTCTCAAATCTTGGTGTTTTCTGCCAGACATGGGCCTGCCTGGATGGAAGGTATTGCCAGCCTAAAAGATGGATATGTTGCTCGCCTTGATGATGAGATGTCATAGAGCGCAGTTCAACAGAGGATCTGGCTCCTGCTTTGCAATGTAATCAACACCAGACCAGAAGATCCCATGACAATTCAGCAGTCTTTGCTCTATCGTGACTATAATGCTTAAATGATCATTTAGCCATTTTATCATCACTTGATATTTAGACACCTCATAAAGTTTTTAAAAAAATGTGTAAAAAAATAAAAAAGCTTCATTTTGCGACTGCCTGATGAATAAAACTGCAACAGCAAAAGTGAAACTTTGTCTGGCATCATTGATGACAAGAGATGCACTGACCTGATTTAGCAGGGTTATAGTTTCACCAATATTGTTTTTTAAAGTACATAAGCCAAAAAACTTTGCTGGTAGGTGAGACTGACTTTATCAAACTTACATAATAATAAATAACAGACCATAGTTTTGCATCGATGTCAAGACTGACAGTGAGTTAATATTTATATTATGAACATTTAGTTTCTCCACCGTTATGTTAAAGAAAATATGTGCATAAATGGAATAATGCTTTTAAGCGACCTGTCATTTACAATGCAGCCTTTCTCAACAAACATCAGCAAACACATCAACTGTTTTTGTGCAGTTTGTTACACAGTGTATCTGCTAGGTAGAGCTACAGGTGCTGTTTTTCCCAGAAAGACAAAAGAATGAAAGATAGATGCGCAGAGGAAGAAGGAAATTTATCTGGAGAGGTAAGACTGCTCAGTGACAATCCCAAAACTGAAAATTTTAAACTTACATGTAAGCTCACTTTTTTTCCTTTAGAAGTTTTAAGTCAGATATTGGATTTGCACCATCCATCCATCAATCCATCCATTCTCTTGCACTTATCCTTAAGGGGTCGTGGGTGGTTGGGAGCCTACTTCAACCACCACAGGTAGTTGGTACCAGTCTGTCGCAGGGCTAACACAGAGAGAAAGACACCATTCATAGTCACACCTATGGGTAATTTAGAATCACGTAACCCCACTAAGTGCATGTGTTTGGACTGTGGGAGGAAGCCGGAGTACCTAGAAAGAACCCACACAAACATGGGGGAACATGCAAACTCTACACAGAAAAGCATGAGCAAGATGGTGAAGTCAAACTCAGGACCTTCTTGCTGTGAGGCCAACCACCATGCCACCGTGCTGCCCATGATTTGAAGTTGTGTGTGTTTTTGTTACCACTAAAATGTCAAACAACAGAAATTAGGGTACTAACTGTGTTATTTAAAGGCTGCATAAAATACAAGGCAGTTTAGTGCAGGATAAGGAGGTCATATACTGCGTCATGCTGTGAATTTACAAAAACGTATTGTCTAGAATAAGGACAGTATTAACAATATACTGTCGGTAAAGGGGATGGAAATGAGCCAAAAGAGCTTGTGAAACATTCACATATATCTTGATGATCTGAGTTGTGTAACTGAGTTGTGTAAATCTACAAAGAGCAGTAACGCACTACAAAGCGTTACTGCCTCCTCCAGGCATGCAAAGAGGCTTAGGGGTGAAGAAGTCTTACTAATGACTGCTGAAATAAAAAAGACTGATTAATGATGTGTACATTGCATATTTCAACATTTTCAACACTCAGTGAAAGAAATATACAGTATAAATTGATTCCTCATCTCAAATCTAATCATATTTTCTTCTTCCAATTAGCAAAGACAGAAGCTTAGTTGGAAACCACATTATGAATGCTGAATCTGACACCAGCTTAAAGCTATTTGGTTCAGAAGAAATGCCTTAGATTCTTACATTCTATAGCATTGGGTTTGCAATGCAATCAACAAATGTATAAGCAAACAAAATAATAATTACAAATAATCATGGAAGCAGGGGTCTAATTGTTTCATTGAAAATCTAAAAAAGCTCAATATTTCAAACAGCACTACTCAATAAAACAGCAATTTTAAAAGTCAAACACTGTTTGTGTTTTTTCTAGGGAAATGTTTATCTAATTTTGTATTATTATTTCCAGTGATGATAATAAAATCCTCTTCATAACTTTGATGATGGTGATGTTTCTGCTTTTTGGGGCTTCAAACATCAAATGTTTAGCAGTTTTCTGTACTACCTGTGGTTTCTGCTCAGTATAGACCATAGCCAGCGAGCAGTTCCACACATCAGTCCACATGGACACCTTTTGTCAGCACAGACGGTTTCACGCAAACACACACATTGTGTAAGCTAAAAACATGATTTATGCTGAGTTGTACAGTAGGTGGAGCACATAAAAACTGTCCACAATAACTAACTTAGAGTCTCTTTTTCTGAGTAATCCACAGCCCAGCTATCTTCCCAGGTCGCTGTGTGAGTCTTCATATGGTAAATGGCCTGTATTTGTATAGCGCTTTTACTAGTC